GTTTGGTGGATGTGTAAAAAAGCTAGAAAGTTTGGAAAATATGTTTGATAAAATTTTATATAATAAAAGCCTCCCTGGAAATGGAGGGAAGGTAACTGTTGGATGGTTGATGGTCTGTAACATTTCTCAAAAGAACCCCTCCCTTGAAAGGAACAAGTAATCTGGAACAATACAGGTTTTTTAAAATATATACTGTATATTTTACTATTTCACATTAATAAACAGTGTTTGTTACAGTAACAGTATAACAGCATTAATAATGTAATGCAATATCAAGATCAATATTCCTAATACAATTATTTTAGCTTTTTTCTTTTTTTAGCATTATAAACAGAGCAATCCCCCAAATTGGATCATTTTGCTTGAAAGTCTTCCTTACTCCTTTATTATAAAAACCCTAATTCAGATATCAACAGTCAATACGTATGACAGTCCATTGCTGAAGACCAGATGAGATTTCTCCTTCCAGCGTTGTATAAAAATTTTCAGGTAGTCCCTTTGTTCAGAAAATTAACAAGACTTAAATGTTTTTATACATTTCAATCATCTTAAGCCATGGATCCAGAGTCATTAGCATTCATGTTGATTTCGGTCCGCAAAGTGGCCATAATACAAATCCAGATCATGAGAGTTAAAAATAACTTCTAAATAGCATCTTCAAAAGCAAGGCAGTTGTAACCAACCCTTATTACACATTCTCTGAGGCATCCACCAAGCTATATATTTTTGTTGTTGTATTAACCTTTTTTTAAGATCAAAGGAAACTAATTTTACTTAAACCAGTGGATGGTTCTTGTAAATATCAGAACAGGACGTCGACTCTCTTTATTTCAGAAATCCCTAAATAACACCAATTTCATCCAATTCCTGTAAAAATAGGTTCCTTGCTGACGTTGCTGATATTATAATGCCAGCCGGCATTCACCCCAATACTGTAGAAACTGTATTTCGGCTCATCGAGAAAGCCACAGTTTTGGCACCCTCGGTCTATTCTATGCCGCAAGTGTCAAGGCTCATTAAAGGGGATTTCGGCAGAAGCCAGATGGCTAGTACTGTATAATCCGCGCGGAGCCCAAATTCCAAAAGAAGGGGCAATGAAAGACCAGGCGCCAGCCAATCGTCGCGACGCCTGCGGAGTTGATCCGGAAGCAAGCTGGAGAGGTTGTCGAGGGGACCAATGAATACGGGAATCAGGGATAGGGGGCGGAGCCTTTCTCTTGCAGCGGTGGACAGCTCCCCTCGTCGATCCGAAGCGGCTTCGCTATGACGGCGCACGGCTTCGCGTTGCCGATGGTCCTCTTCTCCATCTTCTGGGGGCTCGTGGGATTCGCGGGGCCGTGGCTTGTGCCAAAGGGGCCCAACCGCGGGTGAGGCTTCTTTCCGCCTTGTTTTCTCCTCGCCTTCCCATTCACACAATCTCAATTCACCCGGTCTGTCATTCCAGGCTATTGACGCCCCAGAATGTGTACAAGACCTTCAAGTCCTTCATTTAGCCCAATGTTTCTCAACCTTGGCAGCTTGAAGAGGTATGGACTTCAGTTCCCAGAATTCTGAGAATTGCATGCTGGCTGGGGAATTCTGGGAGTTGAAATCCACACCTCTTCAGGCTGCCAAGGTTGAGAAACGCTGATCTAACCTGCTCCCTCCAGTGCCCTCCAGATGTGTTGAGACTCCTAGAATCTCCAGCCAGTACAAGAGCAGGAGATGTAAGCGATGCATCCTTTTTCCAGTGTAGAATAGGGTATCACTTCACCAAAGGTGGCGGGGGGGGGGGGGGGGGGGGAAGCATTAATTTATGCGTTGTTATTTTGCTGATTTTTTTAAAATCCTGTAAATAGATAATCAATATGGCTACCAAAAGACTGAGTTAGATCATCTACTAGGATTCTCTTGGCAGGAAGTTATTTACGTGAGGGTTAGGGATGTTCAAAAGAATAATAGCTCTTTATGTATACAATTACTTTATGTGTATAGCAGTCTAAGATATAACTCTTGCATCTGTTATCCTCACATTCCCTTATATGCTACTCTAACTTTTTTTCTTTTTTTCTTTAGAGTGATTATTACCATGCTGGTGACTACTGCTGTTTGTTGCTATCTTTTGTAAGTAAATCATGCATAATAGGAAGGAGCTAGCTGGGGCTGTTTCTAGAAAAGATGTATGCTTTTGTAACTGGGGATGATATACTGTAGCAGTATGATCCCAGTTCCTCCTTCCTGGATACTGGGAAAATAAAAGGAAATCCAAGATAGAAGAGGTGATAGTTAGATACTTAATTCTTACTGTGCTGGTAGGATGATCTCACTCCACAGTGCCACTGGACTCTTTCTTCTACTAGACTGCAGTCACACAACATGCTTAACTACATTTGTTAAAAACCTAACAACTGTGTGGGTACAACATGCCAAATTTGGTTAGTTTGTATTATAGGTTGTTTGTTAGCACTTAATGTGTTGTGAAAACCCAACCTCTTTGAGTAGTTTATGGCTCAGTGTATTGTGTGCGTCTAAAAAATTGGTAAATTCACGTTAAGTCTAAAGTGTGAACCAACAGGTCATAAGCATATGTTTTGGCTTAAAGTTTTGTTTTAACATAACATTGGAGGCTTTTGTTCCATTGCAAAATCTACATGCTCATATCCTAGTCACATACCTTTGTACTATCCTAATCTGGCATGTACAGTTATGCAGAGAAAAAGCATGAGAAGTAATAATAAACAAAAATTAAAAGCAAGAAGAGAAAAGGAAGAAAATCTATGTAAATTGAGCTTAACCAATATTATTAACTATACTTCTCCATACCTTTTTGTCCTTGCTACAAACCACATTTGCTTCCGCCACATCCACACATTGATTCATACATTGCTGTCTTTTCGTTAAACTTCTCACCTGCTTCCTTTTTAGTATCTCATCAACTCCATCCAATCACAACTTCCTTGGTTTTTCCATTTCTTTCAACCTGTTCACTTTTCTTCATGTATGTATTTTGTAAGTCAGTCCTTATTCATTCTGTGTGACCAAACCACCTCACTTCTTTCATACGGATCACTCACTTTTGTATTCAATTTCAGTTCATTCACCACCCATTCATTATTTAACTCTTATTTTACCAAACACTTCTTAAATATCCCATTCACAATGCATTCAATTTACTTTTTATGTTTCTCTTGACACATCAACTCGTACTTCCATATAATGAAGTAGGCAGAAGCAGAGTCTTATACAAACCCATTTTGCTTCTATTGGCAAACATCCATTCCTCCCAATCAACCATGCAATTCCCATTACTTCCCAGTATTTGCATGTTATGAAATTTTGTTTATTTTCCCATCGTCAGTAACCATTCTACAAGTTGTCACCATTTATTTACAGTTTGCAAATGTTCTTTGTTTTCTTTGTCAAGTACAACTATCTTGCTCTTTGATACATCCATTTTCAGATCCATACTCCTTGTTGCATTATGCAATTTTATATCTGTGACATCATTTGGCTTCTCAGGCAACAAGGTGTCAACATAATCATATAAAAGTGCGTGCACATTCATATCTCCAGCCAACACACTTGTTTTCTGATGTATTCCTTATACATTTCCCCTAAATATATCAAATGACCAATGGGGCATTACACATCCTTATCTTATTCCTTGCTCAATGATGAAAACTTCATTGAATATTTTTTATTCATGTATTCATTTTATTATATGCACTTTCTGTCATCCACAGCTTCTTTCAAAACCATTACGCCAAGCACCTTTTCTCATATTTCTCATAAGCATAACTCAGCTCTGTGGTACTTTGTAACATAATTCCTTTCACCCTATTCCAAATAGCTTCCATATCTTCTTTCCTTATGTCCTCTTCCCATTAATTCTGTTGGGAGATTAATCTAAAAGCTTTTTCATACAAAAGATTTGTACTTTCATAACTTTGTTTTCTTTCACTTATTTTTTTCCTAATTTCCCCTCTTGACAGTACCAAGGAGTTTGTCTCACATTCAGACTCTCATATCACCCTTGTATTCTTCACTAATTCTTACCTTTCATCATAAACAATTATACAAATCATGCTTTTAGATTAATTTCTTTGCTCTGAGTTGTGACTCAGTCATGCAATTTTATTCTTTTTCTTGCAGTTGGCTTATAGCAATTCTGGCTCAAGCCAATCCTCTCTTTGGACCTCAGCTGAAGAATGATACCATCTGGTATGTGCTGTTTCAGTGGGAGTGACCTGGGCTGTTACAGACCAATTAAACAGGTATATACCCACCTATCCTTACTAATAAAAGCGTAGAAGTGACTAGCCTCTTACCCACATCTACTCTGCTGGTTGTGACCAACTAACAACTGAAAAGAAAAAGGATTGACTTTATTATTTGCAAAAGATCTTGGCCTTGGCTCTTTACTTGTCCTAGGCCTGCACTGGTAGGACCAGAATTTGTGAATCCATAGAACAGGCTGTTTTTCTTTCTGTCTGTGTAAGGTGGGGTAAGGGGGGGCAAGCAGTTTTATAGTTCCAAGACAGGTTCTTTCTGTCTTGGGAAAGTTCAGTGCTGATATCTTTCTCTTTCAGGCTTCACCCCCTGCCCTTTCCAGTGGGAACGTGATGGATCTTTTACAGCCTGATGTTTCCACTGCAGTGACCATCCCCTGCCTTCCGATTTTAACTGATACCTTGGCATATATAATCTTAATGTAATGTTTTTATTAATGACCCTCCCTTGATAACTGCAGTAAATACAGTAAGTAGTTGTAGCCTGAAGATTGAATCACTGTTGGTAGAGCTTTGCAACTTCCTTCTTAGTAAGAGACAAAGAACTTTTCTCCATTTTAAATGATATACTAGATTTGTAGGTCTCTCCACATCTTGATCTTTGCATACAAACGCTCTTCTGTCAGAGTACATTTGCCTAGACATCTCTGGTTGTCCATGTTAACTACCAGTTGTAAATGTAAATATGGTATAAACTTGTATTGTGAAAATAAAATTACTGTTTGTGACCTGTTGGCAAGGTCCTATTGTCCTATTCATATTGCTTGGAAAAGCTTATCTACAGTGAAACTGCTGATATCACTTGTATCATTTTAAAGAACAGTTTTACCAAAATCAAATTTCAGATGGAGATTTTGTTGCCAAGGGAGATTTCAGTATAGCTACCCAGATGATTGAAGTCAGTAAAGAACTCTCTCCATTCCAAAAGTAGAAATGGGAAAATACAAACCATGCTGAAGTTTATTCTGTGCAAACATTCAAACTTTAGAAAACATTTTTTTCCCTTTAGAACTATGACCAAGTAGGAAGGCACATGAGGAATAATGGCTTGTGCAGCCCCTTGGCCTATAGAAAACAAGCATCAAGGATGATTTTAAGAAACTCTGGTTACATAGCTCAATGTAATTTATTGCTACAGTTACTGGATTTCAAGTATTAAAACAAATACATTATGAAATGTAGCCCACAGTTGATTCAGACAATCAGTGTTAAAACAAGTTGAATTGTCCAGAATGGTTTGTATTTCAAGATAGTCTTCTGCAATACAAAAAATAGATGAAACTCCCAAGGAAGGAGCATCACCAAAGAGCCATCCTTCATGATGTATGTAATAGGGAATCTGACAGAAATCCCCATACTGTATGTGCAAAATTCAATTCCTCAAAAACCACAAGTGGAAAAAGGAGGCAGAAAATAGCAGCTAATGATATCTTCTTTTTCTTCTTGTTTTAAAAAAGTGCTTCTTTACCCAATGGATCCTACATTTTAAAGTGTTGTCCTCTCACAGCCACTGGTACAAGGAGAAGCCTCTATTCAAACAGAGTTGAAGCACCAGTATGAATTCTTCGCTTTCCTTTGCAGAAGATGCCTCAGAAGAGCTGCTCGGTCCTAAAAATATCCCGTTCTCCCACCCACCCCTTCCTGAGCAAATAATTTTCTTTGGTCATTTGTACTGATACTGTTTTCATCTCCAATAGGAATGGAAGTGAACACCTTTGGTAACACCTGCAACATGATTGCCCTCCCCTAGCTAGGAACCTCCGACACAGAGGACATCCTGAAGCCCCCTCGCAGCCATAGCCCTGGGGACAGAGTAACACTGAGCAGCCACCCTGAGGCTAATGAGGAGTGCCACAGTATTCTGGACTGAAAAAAGACATAAGGGAATCACACCTTTTGGCCCATTAAAAACCAGTGCCGATAGGGAAGAACTGGACAGTCAGTGAGATAGTCCTGATAGCATTCTTTTGTCAGGAGCCTTGTTCCTGGGCTGGCAGTGGTACAACTTCCGTTAGCCACAGCAGATCAAGAGGCGTGGACTGCAACGGCTGCTTGTGGATACGGCGCAGACGGAGGAGGTAGAGCCCAATTGCAAGCGTCACCACAAGAATACATCCAAAGAACAGATAGTGATTGTAGACAAAGGAGAGATGGAACCAAGAGCTGTGTGACTGACGGAAGTTCTCCTGGCGGATCTCCCTAAAACAGAACAGAAACTGGCTACTGTTATACACATTTCATGTATTTCACATTCTCCATAGAGCTCAGAGTGTTATATGTAAAGTCCTTGCCCTAAACCCTGACCCACCCCAATTTTATCATTACAATAGCCTTGAGATAAGTTAGGAAGCAACTGGCCCAAAGTCTTCTCAGATGGTTTACAACTGAGCAATGATTTAAAACTGAGTCTTAATAGCCTATCTAATCATACATTATCCTGTACCCTCTACTGTGTGATGCTGTTTACTGGGAGTTTTGACACTCCTTACTTATTCCTTATAGTGCCTTTTATTGCCTGAAAGGTGCAAAGACTGTGATATACAGGTCCCATTCATTTATCTGATAAGGTCCCCTTTCTGAATGTTTCCATGTACTGCATTACCTGCCTTCCCATAGGCGTGTACGCTTTAGGGACCCATTCAGTGGGAGAGGACTGCGCTCCTATCTAACCTCCACATCAGTTTATTATATATCATGATTTGGCCTGAAAGTCAAGTGCCAAGACTTCAGCTACTGAAAATGGAAGATAAGCAAACCTTCAAATGCAAGAAGAAAATTTAAGTCCTAGATACCTAAAAGTTTCGGTTTGTGTTAGTTCAAGTTCCACAAACAATTTATGAATGGAAGGGAAATATCTCCTAAAATTAGTATTTTATTCTTATCAAATTTGTGCAGAATGCATTGCATCTCTCTTTCGCATGGGCGCTCTCTCTCTCTTTTTGAACACATCCTAGGGGTTTTTGGCACCAGTTTCATGTTTTATGTCCAAAAAATTGCTTTAACCTTCAGCTTTAAAAAAACAACAACTATAGAACTGAGTATGAGGAGGTATAGACTGTCGTAAAACACAATTTCTGAAGGCCACAACCTTGGAAGACCAATTTTTTTTTTGATAAACTCTTCTTCCAAAAGGCTGATGTTGGAGTTCCCAAGATGACTTTACTCCTAGAGAAGACCCAGGAAATAGCAACTTATAATACCTGAGAGGTAAGAAACGGGTTTTATAAAGCATGGCTCCCAATGTCCACTGCACTTCTCGGTCATATACCAACTGGACTGTACGTAGGCTAGAGTAATCCTTGGGGAAATGGAACCCTTCATGCAGAACCTGGTGCATCCAAGCTGACTTGAAGCATTGGTACCTGCAAGCAAAACATATCAGTTTCATTACAAAGATGCAGATCTGGGACTCATCTTACTCAGTGATTTCTAAGGCTCTTGTCCCAACGCTGCAAAAGCAGGACTATGGACACAGTACATTTTCTACCCCCAGTTCTTCTCCTACAAAAGGCAAGAATAGCTTCTTACTTGACACGGTGCAGGTCTGCATGTGGCGAGTAAAGCTTGTCTTGGAATCTCTGTAGCAACACTGACCAGCTGAGGCTACAATAATCCTGAAAGGCAGAAAAGCAAAGGGAGATTAGCATAGAAAAAAAGACACACCTAGAAAATTATCAAGGCAAAAGTCATACTCACCTGGGCAGCACGTGTGAATGTACTGCTTTGATATGGTCCTCCTAGACGCAGCACATCATCAGTGCTGTAGTAGAATTCAGAGAACCCGTAGAATTCACTGTTAGTAAAATCAATAGGTGCCTGATAAGCATTGCTCAAAGAGTTTCTGCTACTGTTGTCTCCAGCCAACAGGGGGCGCAGTTGTTGTGCACAGCTCTGCCAGTCTCCCTGGCCCCTGACATGCATTGCCTGGCCACCTTTATCCACAACATCCTCTAGTCCCATTGGCAAGCACGGGTCTAAGACTGGCACCTCAGGATTCATGCCCATCTGTACACTACGCAACCTACAATAAATAAATATGGTAACATTAAGACAGCACTCCCACTTCATGGCACCAACCCAGTCAGAACATCAACTTTTCCCTTGCCCTCATTTAGGTGCCTAGCTCATTATTTCCCAGATTTTCCCTAAAACACACACACACACACACACACACACACACACACACACCCCTTAATAGGGGATACCCTATTAATGAGACATGTAACTACAACAATCAACAACAGCATACAACCTGACTTTCAGAGACATGACCACTTGGGGCTGTAATAGAGGTACTATCTCCAGAGTTGGCTTGCTATTCAGCACAAGCGGGTGAAAGGGCAGTTTTGTGCTTTCATTGGTTTTTGTTCTTTATAATGTAAACCGCTGGGAGTCGCTATTTTAAGTTCAGTAGTACAGAAACATAATCAATCAATCGTGATCTGGCAAGGACAGAAACATCAAAGATCAGATCCTCGATTGCAGACTGAAGAACAACATGGACTGATTTCTGGCATATCCACTACTTTACATAAACTGTATATTGCAATTTTTATATTAAAAGCTTTTCTGCCAACAAACTTCCCTGGAAGACTGGATGGATTACAGGGTGTTTTTTAAAATGTAGCAAGATTTAGTCACCAAACCTCAGAGTCACACATGCCAAAACACCTCTCCTCAATTTACTTTTTATATATCAAATACTCCAGACTTTTTAAAATCATTTCCTACAGTCTCTGATTCCAACTTTGGTGTGGAACTAAATTGGAATAATTTAGCAGGAAAAGGTGGAATTGTTCAGCAGGAAAACATGGGGCAGTAATAATTTTTAAAATCCTTGATTCACAGAGGAAGACAGAACGGTCCTTCTGATTAACCACTCTCCCCGATGCCAGAGGCACCTTTTTCTGTGTATATAAAGTGGTACCTTGGGTCACGAATGCTTCTGTTCATGACCAATTCGGGTCACGAACAGCACCGTTCGCAAAATT